CTTTTTATTCTGAAAGCTATTAAGAAAAGAGCAGATTTCCTGAAAGAAGAACCAGGAAAATAAGATTCTGACTTATCACCTTGTTGCCTTGTTTTTTACTCGTGTTCTTTTTTGAAATGGTAATATGACTGATCAAATAAATAAATATTATTATAGATCTGAGTACCCAGTGAAATTCGGATACCAAAAACAGATTGCCCTACAGCTGAACTGCACAAGCCTAATATATAATGAAACACTATGCATTCTCCATTTAGGGCCACCTTTGCATCATCAAACATGGTCTGCTTGTGAGTCTTTTGGTAGTTCAGTATACCTCTATGTATTATTATTATTATTATTATTATTATTATTATTATTATTCTGACACAAAAACACAATATGTCACAGTAAATGAGATATATATGCTGCATATTATTATTATTATTATTATTATTCAAGCTAATAGAAGGCACAGCACTTCTAAACCAGGCGTATGACTGATTCATGCTATAGGATAGCTGCAGCAATCTATTGCATTTATCCGCATTTTGAGAGGCATGTATAAAGGTCTTGGCACATGATGAACAGCCACAAAAGATCTGCTAAAATCTCTTTAGTAGGGGGGGAAAAAAACTGACTAGGAGAACAAATAGCAAAATGACCCTTCCTGGTAATAAAAGTAAGAATAAAGGTGGAGCCTCTTTAGAAATATTTAACACTGGATGAACCATGAGAAGTAAATGCCTTCATCTCAATTCCAAAATGCCTTAACCAAGCCCTTACAATGCCTTGGCACAGTGACGGGTTGCAGCCTGAATCAATTAATGGCTTGATTAGTTAACACAGGGTAGTAATTAAAGTTAACAACCACAGGGTAATTAAACACTGACATATAAAATGAAGTGAAATGTGACAGTTTAAACAGTTATTATTCTTAAAATTCAAGTCAGCACTAGGCCAAAAAGCTCGAGTTGTATCTTTGGCCTATGATGAAAAAAAAACAACAACCCTTTTTCTAAATATTGTAGCTGTTTTAAATATATCTTTGGGTGCTGAATTTGAAAAACACAATAAAAATGCTGTACCACACACAGTTCTCCCACAAATGCCATTATTAATTCCAATACTGATTTTGTTCACTCGCATATTGCAATATAAAAACGTCAACGCGCATTATGAGAAAACGGTACGTGATGGAACAAATCTGAGGTCATTTTTGGATTTGGAAATTCCTATAAACCACCATACATTTAAAAAAAAGTTTTAATGAACTTTGGAGACCACTGAATATGGTGAAAAAGCTGTGCATTGTGAGTTCTGTGGGTTCCCTGTTCCCATCCCATCCTTAGTTGAAAACCCTGAGATCACCCTCAAAGTCTGAACACTGAAGGGCAGGGACAAAGGACAGAGGAAAGTGCTTAATCATTTTCTTGATGGCAGTTTTCCGCCCTAAAGCGTACCTCCCCAAATACCCTTTTTATTGCAAGTGGCACCAAAAACTGGTGAAGGAGCCTCTGCAGGAAACAGCTTTCCTCCCTCCACCACCCACTGGTTCTCTGAGACTCCTTCAAGCAAGGCAATTTTGAATTATCAGGATGGTTTTATTTAGAAAGAGTTAAATAAACAAATATAACTGTGTATTGTGAAATGGGGATTTTGACCTTGGGAATCTTGGACTTGGTGCCATGGAATGCTTCTCTGAGTGTGTGTGTTTTTGTCGGGGCGAAATACTCACTTATTTCTAATTGCAAATGAGGAATGGCAGTTTTGCATGCTTGAAACTAAAATCCCTTAATTGCAAATGAGGAATTTGCAATCAAGGGATTTTAGTTTCAGGCATATAAGACTGCCATCTCCCTACATGCAGGTTTAGCTTGTGAAGATCACTGTGTGGACTTGTCCCACTGAACCCATCTTTGAAATGGGCTTTGGTGCTACCATTACTTTTAGCTGGGGAGAAAAAGATATGGGGCTGAATTCTCTTGGTCAGCGTTTCTCAACCTGGGGGTCGGGACCCCTGGGTGGTGTCACAAGAAGGTGTCAGAGGAGTCACCAAACACAGTATTTTCTGTTGGTCATGAGGGTTGTGTATGGGAAGTTTGGCCCCATTCTATCGTTGGTGGTATTCAGCATGCTCTTTGATTGTAGGTGAACTATAAATCCCAGCAACTACAACTCCCAAATGTCAAGGTCTATTTTCCCCAAATATGTTCATATTTGAGCATATTGAGTATTCATGCCATGTTTGATTCAGATGCATCATGGTTTGAGTCTACAGTACTCTCTGGATGTAGAACTACATCTCTAAAACTCAAGGTCAATGCCCACCAAACTCTTCTAGTATTTTCTGTTGGTCATGGGGGTTGTGTGTGGCAAGTTTGGTTCAATTCCATGGTTGGTGGAGTTCAGAATGCTCTTTGTTTGGTCGTGAACTATAAATCCCAGCAACTACAACTCCCAAATGACAAAATCATATCAGATAATTACATTACGATTCATAACAGTAGCAAAATTACAGTTGTGAAGTAGCAATGAAAACAATGTTATGGCTGGGGGTCAACCACAACATGAGGAATTGTATTAAGGGGTTACGGCATTAGGAAGGTTGAGAACCACTGCTCTTGGTCATTCTGCAGGATCACTGAATCAATGCACTGTACCTGAGTGTTAATTTCCTATTTAATAATGAAATCAATGGGTGTACAAATAGGATTCAAACCATGGAAATTCATCACATACATCAATTGACAAAGCTATCCCTTTTCACCCTGTCTCGCGGATTCGTACCGCCAGCCTTCAGGTCAGCAGTTCAGCTGGCACAAGGATTTAACCCATTGTGCCACCACGGCTCCTTGGTGCCATGGACATTTGACAGGGACAGTTCTGATCGACCCTTTGTTCCCCCCACTTTTCTAGCTATTTTTAAAATATCTTAGTTTCTCTCTCCTCTTCCCATTTACCCTCCTTTGTTCTCAGTTTCCTTCAACTGCTGCAAATGGGATTCAAAATGCAAAAATTGGCAATCAATTCACCAAGCAGAAGGGAGAGGAGAAGAGGAGACAGAGTTTTGCCACCTTCCCAAGAAGCTCGGTTGTTGTTGTTCATTCGTTCAGTCGTCTCCGACTCTTCGAGACCTCATGGACCAGCCCACGCCAGAGCTCCCTGTCGGCCGTTACCACCCCCAGCTCCCTCAAGGTCAGTCCACCAAGAAGCTCAGGCAAAAGCAAACTGATGCAACTCTCCTAGCTTGTCTGTCTCTCCTCATTTATAACTTTTGGTGTCTTGACCACACTCTGATCTCGCTTGGTTATAAATCTCTCAGTTTCCATTTGTGAAATGTTGGAAGGTAAGTAAAGCACTCCTCCTTCGTTTAAGGCACTCAAGGTGACTGCTACCTGGAGTCCTTGCATTATTCTGTCTGAGGAAGGGTCGGCTTTGTCTGAAAGTGATCTGCCTTATAGACAGGAGTTCAAACTTCCTTGCTGGATCAAAGACTGTTATGTTTCAATCAGGGAGTGAAAAACAAAAATAAGTAGATCTTTTCAATTATAAAGTTGAAACAAACCTCCCATAATAAATTTTACTTGCTTCTTTTTAATGACATAGGTATTTTCAATGCCTATCAGGTCTCAGTGGCTATAAGGGTTAGACAGATAGTTTATCTTCTTGCATTTCTTGTTGTCTGTTTTGCATCATCTACAAATTCTAAGGATCGTGCTCTTGCACTGAACTGCACTGATACATTTCTTACACATATTTTCAATATAACCGATGGGAAATCTATTTTGTGAATCTTTAAAGCCATAAACTTGATTGAGTTTGCTGAATGATTGTATTAATTTCCTAACATGTTACATAAATGCATTCATTTTAGTCTTCATTGTATAAACATGAATTAATTCCTGAATAATGCTTTTACAGGGTACTAAGTATTAGTGTAAAAACTCTCCATGGATTTATTTAATGTACTAGATATTAGTGTAATTAGCCTGGATATCGGTGTAATTAATTAGTATAATTGATGTACACATGGAGCACAATTCAAGAGAAGACTCTTCTGAATTAGTCATACTTTAAAGGAGTTTCCATAAAATAATTTCATGGTTGGTTGTACATAGCCTTTGATTCTATTTATCCACATGGGATTTACTTTTAAAGTCACAATGAAAATGCTAATATATATATTATATAATATAATATAATATAATATAATATAATATAATATAATATAATACAATACAATACAATACAATACAATACAATACAATACAATATAGAGATACGTGGTTTTGGGAGAAGGACTGGCTGGCATCTTTCACTAATGGAGAACAAATGGGAATTCCCAACCTTTTTTTGACCAGGGACCATTTTGACCAGGGATAACTCTCTAACATTAGTACCAAAAGGGTTACAGATCAGTTTTTGGTCAACTTTAGATTCGGTTTGGTTATTTGGGGTGCTGACCCATAAAATTGCATTGGATAGACCACATCAGCTCTAGTTTCTGACACAGAACATATGCCATTCAGTAGTTGCCATCGGCTCACCCACAGAAAAGCATATTTAATAATCTAGAGCTGATGTGGTAGTAGTAATATTTCGTGGGTAGTCAGTTCCTCCCCTCCCGACATCCCTTGGCAATATAAGAGGGTTTTGCGAGACCAGTTGCTCTCATTGCCGCGTGGTTTCGAGGCAACAGTGTTGTAATGGTGAGGCCGCGGACCATATTTTCGTTCTTCCGGACCTTTGGTGGTCTACGGACCACAGGTTGGGAGTGGTTGGGAACCACTCCTCTAAATTCTTCATTCTTTTTTATGGAGTAAATTTGTAAATTAAGATTTAAACTTTAAAATAATTCCAAATATGTGCATCATACATAGTTCTATTTTTTTTTTCAAAAAAACTGTTCACATTTTGTCTCATTTGAATAGACTGGATAATTAGTAGGACAAATAGTCTTGTTATGCCATGTCTGAAAGAAATGCATGGATTACCATCCTCCTTGCTCTTCCCTGCAGGTATTCTCGAAATAAGGACAGTAGCAGTTGGAATAGTAGCAATCAAAGGAGTGGCAAGTGAATTCTTTATAGCCATGAACAAGTCTGGGAAATTATATGGAAAGGTAATGGCATAATTATTCTTTGGATAAAAAATATAACTTTTACTAACAATTGTATTATTTATTTATTTATTTATTTATTTATTTATTTATTATTTGAAACATAACAAGATGAATCCATAGCAGACAGAATCACTTTGCTGGCTGTTGTATTGGATCACACATGGGACACTTCCCAAGTGTCTCGGACTGTGTGATGTATCGGCGAATAATGCTTGCAGATCTCAGTAAGGTGGACTTCTGCAGCTGGCAGATGGTAATTTTGTCAGCACCGATTATGTATAATAATAATAATAGTAATAATAATAATAATAATAATAATAATAATAATAATAATAATCTGTCTCTGTGTGAAAAAAATGGGGGATGCTTTATACCACTGCTTTTACAGACTGGCGGGAATTGCTCCTCAGAGCTTTGTGTTGTCTTTGAATACATTCACCTAAAATTACCTGAAATTTGGGCCCAGCCTCCCTGGAATCATGTAAGAGGAGACAGGAGGTTGCTAGTGGCTTTTCCACTGATCTAAGCAATACATCTCATAGCTAGCCTTGATACCTTTAACAATAGACAGGTTTAGGGTGCATAGTAATCCCTGCAAAGCAATGCCTGGACTGTCCTTTTGACTTGTCATCTTCTCTTTCACCCTGACTGCACACAACAGGTTTCCTTACACCTGTAATACACCATGCAATGCAGAAAGCCATTTCTTTATGGACACTCATTACAATTTATGGAGCCCCCTGGTGACGCAGTGGATTAAACTGCTGAGCTGCTGAACTTGCTGACTGAAAGGTCGGCGGTTCAAATCCAGGGAGCGGGATGAGCTCCCGCTGTTATCCCCAGCTTCTGCTAACCTAGTAGTTTGAAAACATGCAAGTGTGAAAAGATCAATAGGTAGCGCTTTGATGGGAAAGGAATGGCACTCCATGCAGTCATGCTGGCCACGTGACCTTGGAGGTGTCTATTGACAACGCCGGCTCTTCGGCTTAGAAATGGAGATGAGCACAAGAGTCCCAGAGTCGGACGCAATTAGACTTAATGTCAAGGGAGAACCTATTACAATTTATGCAAATCACTTCAACACAACACACTAAATGTTGTCATTTTCTTGTTATCGCTCAGGATTCCAATCAAATCATATCTGGCTATTTTTTTAAAAAAACTGGAAAAAATCATTCATCCTTAAAAGTATACAAGATATTTGCAAAGAGAATATCACATAGATACATTTTTAGGTATATGCAGTGTATTTCGATATCAGAAGATTTTTTTTTACATGGCCCTCCCATGTCTTATTACCTGACATTGTACTTTTTTTCTTCCAATAGAAAGTGTGCAATGAGGACTGCAACTTCATAGAACGGATTCAAGAAAACAATTATAATACCTATGCTTCAGCAAACTGGACCCACAAAGGGGAGGAGATGTATATAGCGTTGAGACCGAAAGGTGCCCCTAAGAAAGGCACAAAAACAAGCAAAGAAGACACGTCGTCCCATTTCCTTCCAATTCCGTTATCCTAATCACATATTATGTATGGAGAACCAGTTCCAGCAAAAGCATTTTCATTTCTAAAAAGGGGACTGTTTGAAAGGACACGGAAGAGAAGCTGGAATACTACTGAAAAACTGAACAAGCTGGACTTGCACGTTTATGTTTATTTTTAAGAGACTGACTTTAAAAGAAATGGAAGATATACACTACATCAGATTTAGTAACTAAGAGTTGTAAAAATTGTAAAGAGTTGTACAATCCTTACGTTAGTATAAGAGTAGCCTTTGCAGATTCTTAAATTAAATTCACCCTTCCACGTTAAGTCATGACTTGATTATCTGATATTATTTTATTTAAAATAAACCTATCTGCTTAATTAAAAATGGCTGCTATAATAATAATAAAGCAGATGAAAATATTATGTAAAATATGTTGGACTTGATGGCTGCTGGAATGAGTGTTCAGATGATCAAGTCAGAACTAACGCTGGAGGCTGAGCAGTATTAAATACTTCCCAGGTTAAAAAAAAAAGTATTAAAACAATCTGAAATTGGAATACTGTTGTATTCAGAAAACAAAGCTAGTATAGAAGATGAAGGTTGCACCACTGCAATATATTCGTATGTATTAGTAAAAAAAATGACTAATGCTGCTCTGAGAGATGTTACAAAATAGTGTATATAAAATAATATTAATAAGGGAAATGTACTTCATCTCACTCTCCTCAAAATATCCTTTTATATAACGACGAAGTAAAAAATTCAGACATCATCATATGGGTTTTTATGTAACATAACCTATCTTTTTATATAACTCCTGTTAGGGTATATGGCTTCTGATATTTTTTTTCCCCACCATTACTCAAGCTTTTTCTGTTGTTACAGCATTAAACTTTATTTTAAGTTATAGTTGAACTTTATTGTTTTAAATTATTTAAACTGATGTTATTTATAAAAAGAAAAGTATCAAGATGCATCTGTTTCATATGATTTTGATTCTGAAAGGAATAACAAGCCAGTCTGGCTCAGAAGCAGCCTCTTCCCCACACATCAATGATCAGACATAAAGTTCTAGTACACAACTCTCGTGCCAATGTGCACTGGATGACCGACAAAAACGACAGCCTGCAGCAATTCCTACAATGCAAGTTTCAGAAGTAACAGCCCCAAAAATGCAAAAAACAAAACAAAAAACCCAAATGCCTTATTCTCCTTCCAGTTATCTGATAGCATTCCCAGAGTCACAGCAGACACTATTGGACCATATCCTTGTTGATTTGTATAAAAGCTGGTATTTGGTATTAGGCATCAGATACCATATTAAACAGAGAGAAGTATGTTTACAAGAAAAATTGCATTTTGGATAGTGAAAGATGAGGCTACAACAGGTATGGGGAAACCCGGCCTGGGGGTCGGATGTAGCCCCTTGGGCTCTTTTCTCAGGCCCTCCACTCTCTCACTATCCCATCCTTCCTTCTCTTTCCTCCCTCCTTCCCTCCCTCTCACTTCTTTCTTTATTCCCCCCTCTTTCTCCCTCTCTCCTTCCTTCCTTCCCTTCCACCCTTTCGTCCTTCCTTCCTTCCCTCTTTCCTCCCTCCTTCTCTCTCTTTCTCCTTCCTTCCTTTCCTTTTGCCTTCGCTTCCTTCTCTCTTCCTCCTCCCTCTTCTCCTCCCCCTCCCTTCCTTTCTCCTTTCCTTCTCTCTTTCCTCCCTACCTCCCTTCCCTTCCACCCTTCTCTTTTTCCTTCCTCCTTTCCTCCTGGAGGATGTTTGGCTGGGAGAAGAGAAGGTAGTGAGGGAACATGAGAACCATGTTTCAAGATGTCAAAGGGTGTCCCATTGAGGAGGAAGGAGAAAACTGACTTTCTGCAGCTCTAGAGACCAGGGCACAAGGGAGTAATGTTTTCAAATGCAGGGAGAGAGATCTGACTGAAAAGATTACGAAGAACTTCCTGAGAGTAAGTGCTGTTGGAGAGTGACAAAGCTCCCTTGGAGAGTGGTGGAGTCTCCTTCTCTGGAGGCTTTCCCATCAGGAGTGTTTTGGTTGCGCCTTCTTGTATGGCAGAGGGTTGGACTGGATGGCCTTTGGGGGGTCTCTTCCAGCTCTAGGATTCTAGGATTCTATATCAGGATTAGGCAATATGGGGTTTTGTGGATACACTTTTTCTCTCCCATCCACTGTCTCATCCTGACCAAGACCAACCCTTTTGGGCTCCAAATATTTCCGATCTTTCCTCCACTTTCTGCCTCCGAAAGAAAAGAGGAAGGGGAGGAAAGGGCAGGGAGGGGATTTGGGGACAACCCCCTTCCTCCTGGCCCACCCACCCTGCTCCAGCCTGCAATCTGGAAAGTTGGAAAGTTCACCCATGCCTGGGCTACAACTAAATTTCCAAGTAGTGAACACACAGGGTGTATCTACAATGGAGAATTAAGGTAGTTTGACACCACTTCGACAGCTATGACTCAATGCTATGGAAACATGGAAGTGGTTGTGTATACAAGGTCTTTAGTCTTCTCTTCCAGAGAGTATTGAGGCCTCAGCAAACTACAAATCTATAGTATTGAGCTATGGCAGTTCACGTGGGCCCAAACTTCATTAATTCTATAGCAGTGGTTCTCAACCTTCCTAATGCCACGACCCCTTAATACGCTTCCTCATGTTATGGTGACCCCCAACCATAAAATTAGTTTCATTGCTACTTCATAACTGTCATTTTGCTGCTGTTATGAATAGTAATGTAAATATCTGATATGCAGGATGTATTTTCATACACTGGACCAAATTTGGCACAAAGACCCAATACACCCAAATTTAAATACTGGTGGGATTGGGGGAGGGTATTGATTTTGTCCTGTGGGAGTTGTAGTTGCTGGGATTTATAGTTAACCTACAATCAAAGAGCATTCTGAACTCTACCAACGATGGAATTGAATCAAACTTGGCACACAGAACTCCCAAGACCAGAGAAAATACTGGAAGGGTTTGGTGGGCATTGACCTTGAGTTTTGGGAGTTGTAGTTCATCTACATCCAGAGAGCACTGTGAACTCAAACAATGATGGAGCTGGACCAAACTTGGCACTAATTACTGGTGGAGTTTGGGGAAAATAGACCTTTACATTTGGGAGTTGTAGTTGCTGGGATTTATAGTTCACCTACAATCAAAGAGCATTCTGAACCCTACCAACGATTGAATTGGGCCAAACTTCCCCCACAGAACCTCCATGACCAACAGAAAATACTGTGTTTTCTGGTGGTCTTTGGTGACCCCTCTGACACCCCTCGCAATCCCTCCAGGAGTCCTGACCCCCAGGTTGAGAAACACTGTTCTATAGTATAGGGGCACCCATTTTCAGGGGAAATGCAACTAATTATGTAAGTAATTCTTCCCAGACTCTACCTGAGGCCCAACATACCAGATCCCTGTGGCTGAACAACTGGTGTCCTGGGTTGGATACACTCTTCTAGGGTTTAATATAACGCCAAAGGACACTGCACCACACAGGAATAGTGTGACCCATCTCCTATCATAACCTGGTTGTGAGACCCATATAAGGCAAGTTACTCAATAATAAAACCGTCCACTAATCAATGAACTTGTCGATAATCTGATCACACACTAAGGATAACTAACTTGTAAAATGTGGTACAGTTTGCCTTCCAGATCTGCCGGCTCAGGATCCATGGATTCAAACCAATTCAAAAAAATATATAGTGGCCTCATGAGAAAAAATGTGGCAAAAACTGTTCCGCAGCACTACTCCAATGAGTGAGAAGAAGCTGGTGCTCAACAATCTCTCTGCATCCCTTGTATTGGATGAAGTTTCTGTGTATTTTGACATCCTACAAGTATTCTGGGATAGTGTTTAGCACTTTCCCAACAGGCCAAATACAGCTTATGGTGGTATCTAAATAGGTTGCAAACTAGGAGGAGGCACATCCAGAGCACCAACTAAAGAGATCTCATATTTACAACTAAGATATATTGCTTAGATCTGTATGATGGTCTATTTCACAATACAATGGACCCTTCCTATCTTTTGCGGGTCTGGGTCCGGGACACCCCATGGATACCAAAATTTTTGGACACTATTATATAAAGTGGCATACTAAAATAGTGTCCCTTGGATGACAAAATACAGGTTTGCTTTTTTGGGTCTAATAATAATAATAACAACAATAATATACTTTATTTATATTCTGCTATATCTCAAGGGCACAGAGCGGATTACAGAACACATACATGCAAACATTATACAATTAAGAAAGACAAACAGTACATAGACAGAGGCATATATGTGTGTGTTTATGTGTTTATGTGTTTTTATATATATATATATATATATATATATATATATATATATATATTCCTCTATGTACTGTTTGGCTCTCTTAATTATACATATAATGATATTGACAGTACATAGATAGAGGCATATATATATGTGTGTGTGTGTATTAGGGAGCCCCCAGTGGCGCAGTAGGTTAAGGTGCTGAGCTGCTGAACTTGTTGACCGAAAGGTAGCAAGTTCAAATCCAGGGAGCAGCGTGAGCTCCCGCTGTCAGCCCCAGCTTCTGCCAACCTAGCAGTTCGAAAACATGCAAATGTGAGTAGAGCAATAGGTACTGCTTCTGTGGGAAGGTAATGGCACTCTATGCAGTTATGCTGGCCACATGACCTTGGAGGTGACTACAAACAATGCCGGTTCTTTGGCTTAGAAATGGAAATGAGCACCAACACCCAGAGTTGGACACAACTGGACTTAATGTCAGGGGAAAGCCTTTACCTTTACCTATATATGTTAGAGCTTTGGATGGTTGAATTAGTGTAGTTTAATTGCTGTTACTGTTGCTAGCAGAATAATTTACACATTTCAAAAAAAACGTTAAATAATATCTTATGTCTGATGCCTCATACTTACAAGAGTGCGAGCTTGATGGTGCGTGAAGGAATTTCTCACACGACAATTGATGAAAGGAATCTTTTTGTAGGTTTCCCAACAGCCATATTTTCCATTCCTTCCAAGCAGATTTTCGCGGCTTAAAACCTGCACAGCATAAGTTGATAAATATAAAAAGTGGATCTCTTACTGACACACTGTATATTTATATTACCAGTCAGAAATGATCTTTAAAATAAAAGACACCACTAAAGAAACTCCACAGCAAGAATATCCCTGTGGGCAGCAAAATCAGGCAATTCCTACTGGATGACCCCTCACAAGGGTGTGTGTTTTTATATATATACAATACAACTGTTTGGTTCGCTCCTGGCATAATAAATAAATAAATTACTGTTTTGTCTACAAATATTTTTGTAATTTAATGTTTTGTATTAGGCAGCCGCTTTGAGTCTCCTTGAGAGAGAGAAATAAAATTAGTTTAGTAAAATAGAAAGCGCTGACACAAACATATTATATGAAACTCTGTTTTTGAAAAGTTCTCAAGCAATAAATTTCAAAGATTTAATTTGTTCATTTTATTTTAAAAAAAATAACATTACCGTACCTCTTATCCACTGGAAAACCACATCCATCAATTCTTCTTTAAACTCATCATTAAAATGCCTATGGGATTCAGGAAAAGCTTCACAAAAGGTAACATATATGGTTTGTGACAAGCAGTCAGGATACATCTGGAAAATGAAAATTGTGCTAAATTTAAAATATAAAAAGTTGGCAGTAGCTACATATTTTAAAAAGAGCAAGTGAAATATAATTTAAAAAGAAACCCATGCAATTCTTACATAACTAGGGTCTTATCTCATAAGTCAGTGTGCTATAGTGGTTTCAGTGTTGGACTAGGACACAAATATAACTGTAGGAGAAGATATGGTTTTTTTAAATCCTTACTGTTTATATGTGAGTTATATTAATTGTATTGTTTTTTTGCTTATTGTTTTCTGTTTAACTGATGTGTTGTTGGGCTTGGCCTCATGTAAGCCGCTCCGAGTCCCCTTGGGGAGATTTTTTTTTTGTCGTGTCAGGAGTGACTTGAGAAACTGCAAGTCGCTTCTGGTGTGAGAGAATTGACTGTCTGCAAGGACGTTGCCCAGGGGACGTTGCTCATCCGCCTCTCCCCGGATTCAAACCTGCGACCTGTCCTGCCGGCTCTGGGGTTTAACCCACTGCGCACCGGGGAGATGGTGGTGGGGTATAAATAAAGTATTATTATTATTATTATTATTATTATTGTTATTATTATTATTATAGTGTGATTTTTCATCATCCAAAGGACACACACACACACACACACACATTTGACTGGAGTTACACTTAAAAATAAAAATGTACCTGTTCTGGTTTACATACAAATTCAACTTAAGAACAAACCTGCAGAACCTATCTTGTTCATAACTTAGGATCTATCTGTAATGAGTTGCAATCATTACCTCAAAGAAAGGATCTTTTACGTAATTGGGAGTCGTCAACAGAAGCGTCACGAAGCTGTCTGCTATTCTGTCAAAAAAGTGATCCTGTTCATCTTGATCAGGCTTGCGGGGAAAATCAGGAAACATATTATGAATATTTATATTTAATTAATACCATTAATCATACTGCATTTAAGCATGAGTACAGTGCAAGTAAAAAAACAAGCTGACTGAATCAAGAGAAGCTTTTGCATGGTCATCAGGCATTAGAGACCTTAGGGAAGTGAAACTGGAATGTTTCAAATAACTAGCAATTTTTCAGTTTTTATGCCATTTGGGATGCAGATCGGCTGGTGGTAGATATTTCTTTTAGCGTCACCTACATCATTTATATTAATATCTGGTCACAGTTAAATGAGACAGAAAGAAGGGAAGGATTTGTAATGTAAATGAATATTCTGGTCAACATGGATTTTTCCTTTGCAGCTCAAGAGTTCACTACAGCTGCAATCCTATGCACATTTATCTGGGAGCAAGGCCCGTTGAATAAGATGGGTCTTACTTTTGAATAAACCCATACATAGCTAAAGGTAAAGATTTTCCCTTGACATTAAGTCCAGTCATGTCCGACTCTGAGGGCTGTTGCTCATCTCTATTCCAAGCTAAAGAGCCAGCGTTGTCCATGGACACCTCCAAAGTGCATGGAGCACCGTTACCTTCCTGCTGGAGCGGTACCAATTGATCTATTCACATTTGCATGTTTTCAAACTGTTAAGTTGGCAGAAGCTGAGACTAACAGTGGGAGCTCACGCCGCTCTCCGATTTGAATCTGTGACCTTTCAGTCAGCAAGTTCAGCAGCTCAGCGGTTTAACCTACTGCGCCACCGCGGGCTGCAATACATAATTATGCTATAAATCAAAAAATGTTTCATTGTCCACATCAGAAATGCCAAGTATGACATAAGATTTATAGCTTCGGCCAGCTCCCCAATTAAGGTTAATTAACCAATTAATACAGTTCTGATTTCTGCACACAGTTCAAGTTGTTTTCTCTTATACTTTCTCAACTTTATTTTATGCTCTACCTCAGGCATGGGCAAACTTTCTAACTTGGGTGGCCGGAGCGGGATGGGTGGGTTAAGAGGGAGGGGGTTCTCCCCAAGCCCATTCCCTGCCCTCCCCCCGTCCTCTTCTCTTTCAGAGGCAGAAAGTGAAGGGAAGACAGGAAAACATTTGGATCCAAAAGAGTTGGCCTTGGTCAGGATGAGGTGGAGGGGAGAGAAAAAGTGTATCCATGAGACCCCCTATTGCCTACTCCTGATATAGAATCCTAGAATCCTATATCCACAAAGACCATCCAGTCCAACCCCCTGCCATGCAAGAAGACACAATCAAAGCACTCCCAATAGACAGCCTCTGTGGAAAAACCTCCAGAGAAGGAGACTCCACCACTCTCTGAGGCAGGCTATGCCACTCTCCAACAGCTCTTCCTCTCAGGAAGTTATTCCTAACCTTTTCAGTCGAATCTCTTTCCCTGTCATTTGAGACCATTGATCCCTTGTGCCTTGGTCTCTAGATCTGCAGTAAAACAGTTTCCCCTCCTCCTCAATGTTTACATCTTGAAACACGGTTCTCATGTTCCTTCTCTTCTCCCAGCTAAACATCCTCAGGAGGAAAGGAAGAAGGAAAAAGAGAAAGAAGGAAGGAAGGAAGAAGGAAGGAAGGAAGGAAGGAAGGAAGGAAGGAAAAGGAAGGAAGAAAGGGGGGGAGGAAGGAAGGAAGGAGGAGGAAGGAGGAAGGAAGGAAGGAAGGAAGGAGGAGGAAAGGGGGAAGGAAGATGAAAGGTGGAAGGAAAGGAAGGAGGGGGAAAGGAGAAGGAAGGAAGGAGGGAGAAAGAGAGGGAAGGAGGGAGGAAAGGGGAAAGGAAGAATGAAAGGGTGGAAGGGCAGGAAGGAGGGAGGGAAGGAAGGAAGGAGGGAGGGAGGAAGAAAAGAGAGAAGGAAGGAAGGAAGGAAAAAGAAGGGAAGAGGGAGGGAGGGGGAAGGAAGAATGAAGGGGGAAGGAAGGAAGGAGGGAAGGAGGGAGGAAAGAGAGAAGGAAGGAAGGAGGAGAAGAGAGGGAAGGAGGGGGAAAGGGGAAAGGAAGAATGAAAGGGTGGAAGGGAGAAGGAGGGAGAAAGAGAGGGAAGGAAGGAGGGAGGAGGAGGAAGAAAAGAGAGAAGCAAAGAAGGATAGGATGGTGAGAGAGAGGAGGGCCTGAGAAAGGAGCCCAAGGGGCCACATCCAGCCCCTGGACCTGGGTTTGCCCATACCTGTTCTACATCTACAGCACAAAGTACTTGAAGTTGCCTTTAAAATCCCCCCAAATATTGATTTACATTTCTCCATATGCATTAATGTTCAATCAGAAATTTTATACATCCAAAACATGTCTCTCTTTAATTTGAGAAAAAACACGGCAATGAAGGTACATCCCCTCATACCTTGAATTTATGAAGAAACAACCACCAAAAACAATCCTGTAAAATCGCAAGCGATGCTTCTGAGAAAAATAACTTCTTCAAAACCTTTACATATACAGTCTGTGCAAAAAATGGAAAGGAAAAATAACTTCAATTAATTCATTAGGATACTTTTCTTGGGGGAAATTTCACTGCATCACACTTGGGAAATTGTTTGTATAGCAATGAAATCAAGAACTGAACTTGAAAGACAAATTATCCTTCATTAAATTCTGTACTGTAGGTCTATAAGACTAATAGTTGGTCCTCAACTGCAGCCTCATATAACCTTTTCAAAGCTGACCCCAGATAATTGTTTGGGTCAATACTTATTATCTTAAGAATACGCAATCAATCATTTTGTGTGCTGTGACTATAGCACTTACTCTATGGGATTAAACATTGGTCTTGGTTGTTAATGCTACGTTACCAGTCTTCGGGTGGATGTTTAGGACCTTAAGTCAGTTTTGGCTTCAAAAACACTATATGTGGGGCCATAAATCTGGCAGAGATCTAGAAAGAGGCCTGCTATTTGGGGGGAAAGGGGAGCCAATAATGCTCGAATGCAATGGCCTCCAACTATTACATCCCTAAAAAGTCTGGTTCTCTTCATACTTGACACAACTTGGCCTTGAGCAAATGACAGGAAATTAATAATTACCAATATAAATAAATCTGACACTGTTAAAATTTGAAAGCCCCTAAAATGTCATAAAGCCTGTAAACATGCAGTTTTTAATCTTGGACAAAGATTTAAGTGCTGCTTCAAAAACATTATATATTAATAAATAAATAAAATTGGGAGGGAGGAAAATATCTAAACGTGAATAGGCTAAACTAATTTACAATGCAGTCTTAATGCTTGACTAAGGCATTTCCAATGAGGTTGCAGATTTCCAATGAAAGCACATTGTTCAGTCTCTACCTATGGGGCTGTGGCAATATTTCCAGAGATTATGGGGAAATATTGAGATTTCAATGCATTTTAAGGATTTTCTTGGGGTATATTTTCCCAGTCCTTTTACAAAATGAAAATATATTTTATATGACAACTGTGTCTAAGTGGGTTGTGTCGGAGCATGCAAGGAATCAGTGTGTGTGTGTGTGTGTCGACTGTAAAATAAGATGCATGAAGCTGATTGGCTGGGCAGTGCCCAGGGAGATGGCTGAGCCTGGGACTTTTGGTTACTGTTACATTTTTGTTCAGGCTTGAGCTATACAGGTTCAGAGAAAGATGAAGAGAGAAGCGCAGAGAGAGAGAGAGTGTGTGTGCTCTTGCTTCATGAGCTACTGAAGGAGTTTATCCACATGGACAAAGAAAGGCCATTTTAAATCTCTCATAAAAGGACATTATGTAAGTTGCTGCAACTAATCACATTATACATTGAACTACGAAGAGTAAATTACTTGTTCTTTACTGTTTGCCTGCATGGCATATTTTCTTTCCCTGGCAAGGCAGTGTGTGAGCTGATCAAACGTGAAATACACATCGTATATTTTACATTACGCCACAGGTCGATGTGAGTTTTCCAGGCTGTATGGCCATGTTCCATAAATGCACTGCAGACTAATTCAACCAGAGAGGTACAGCCATATCAGAGCACTTGATGAACCAACCTGAACACAACATATTATTTGAGAACATAGAAAGGCTGTGTTCTAACAACCAGCATATCAGATTACATATCAGAAAAGCCATTGAAATCCACAAGCATTTGGACAATTTCAACAGAAAGGAGGAAACCATGAAAATGAACAAAATCTGGGCCAGCTAACACCTCTCAACAAAGAATTCACTCGGACAGGAAGCAGCCAGGCTTTGAAGCTGCAAGGCTTATCAAGGTGGCCAGTTGCAATATTCTTGCCTTAAACAGACAAGAGTTCTTTCTCCCATCCTGGATATTCCACACATATATATACATTTCACTTGCCTCATTTCCAACAGACCTCACAACCTCTGAGGATGTCTGCCATACATGTGGGCCAAATAACTGGAGAGAATGCTTCTGGAACATGGCTATACAACCCAGAAAACTCACAGCAATCCAGTGATTTCGGCCATGAAAGCCTTCAAAAACACAACGGTGTTTTAGACATGTGAGGATTGCTTTATTATTCTTAGCGGTGGGTGATAAGATTTATGTGAAATAATAAATATTTTATAGTATTCTGAAGTGAATACTATAAAATGTATTTAAATGATATTATTTAACATTTATCAACTTTAAGAGACCATTTAGAAAAATTAAACAGGTTTAACTATAAATTGTGCACATTAAAGAAAATTTATGTGAAGCAGCTACTGAGTTTTATATCTATAGATTTTGTTACCTTGAAAGTCTGAACTTTTAGAACCAAATCCCAGAGTTGTGCAGCTTCTAGATTGTTTGGGAGCTTTGTGAGTTTCTGGACCTCAAAACCAGGGAACTTGAAATTCTAAAATAATAATAATTTTGCTGTAATATGAATCTTTCTTACTATTTTCAAAATATAAGTTCATTTGAAAAACTGATATACCCAGAAAAATTTAGAGTCAAATTATTAATTTATATTAAATGCATGCTTAGAAGTGGCAACAAATACCCTTTCTGTCTCAAAATACTCTATCTGCAAAGCTGCTATTTGTAGTAAAGTAGTTATAGAGACAATAGCAACTAGGAATGAAATATGACCAGAAAACAGAGAAGGGCAAAATATGAAATGGTTCAATAACAACGTAGCTGCCTTAGATAGGATGTATCATCTCTAAATAAATAAATATGGTATTTCTTACTTTCACTACAGTCAAGGCTATGCTATGCACCCTGCAGTATGGCCTCCCTGCATGCATACATTCCTCATTCCTTCCTAACTGGATAGCAATACTGACACTGGCTTGAATAAGAGTTTTCAGAATTGTCTTGCAAATGTTGCAGTGCGGTAAAAACTGACTGAAAAATGGTTCTATCATTTAAATACACCACCAGATTAGAACGTTATACACTTCTGAATTATCGACTGCTGTTGCAGATTTTGTAAAAGTACCGGTACCTCAACTGTTTTACAGTGGAAGTCTTGTTTGGCATCTGCAGCAACCTGAAACACATTTTAAACAAACATGTTTTAGAGTTATGACAAATGCAGCTAAAATAAGTTATCCTCTTTATTAAGCAAGGCATATTTAGCATGACACATTATTTGTAGTAGTAAATTTATTGATTAGCCCTTAGGCCATATCACAATACCATGCCGAACAAAAAGGCTTGATAAAACTTCAAGGACGAATCCAGACAGCCTTTTATCCTAGAAGCAAACACATAAAAAAAAAAAAAACGCGGAAGCTTGTGGGAGGCTGTCTACACCCACCCCAAAAAGCACACGCTTTCTGGGGTGGGTGTCCAGACGTTCTCTCAGGACGTCTCTCTGGAGGTCCTCCCCTCTCCCCCTAAGCCCTCAGACCCCTTAGAAAAGTAATGAATACTTACCTGGCCTCCATTAAAGGCTTCGGCCAGCTCTCCTGGCGCGTAGAAATGACGCACCAGGACAGGGGGGGGGGGGGGGCGCTATTTTCCTCCCTCACCCCCCCTCTTCTGGTCACTTCTACACGCCAGAAGAGCTGCCGAAGCTGTAATGGAGGCGGGGTAAATATTCATTACTTTTGGCGTGTCACTTCTACATGCCAGGAGAGCTGGCCAAAACTGTAATGGAGGCCGGGTAAGTATTCATTACTTTTCTAAGGGGCCTGGGGGCTTGCGGGGGAGGGTGGTGGGTATTACCACAGTTTACCTGGTTTATTTAGCCCGGTAAACTGTGGGGATACTGTCTGAACTTTCCAAGAAGGCATGGAATAAATCCACTATCAAATTAATTAGCTACAAACCAGGGTTTTCCTGGCTTGTAGCAAATTAATTCGAGTCTGTCCAGAACATGGTCTGGACAACCCCTCCTTTATTGAGGGAATTACTGCAATAAAGCTACTATATGGATGGGTGCGAAGTTGCTGTCAATTGCAAAATGAATAAGGTTGGACACTGTGAAAGCTACCATATGGCTATTAGCCATACAGTGAACTTAAATCAAGGAAAAGTTTCATGAGAACCACCACCCCTTTTAATGTTCCTCCAGCAAATGCAAGAATATCCCTGTGGGCAGAAAAATCAGGAAATTCCAACTGGATGGTCCCCCACGAGGATATTCCTCCAGAAGCAAACCAAGAATAGGCAACCTAGAAGTCCCTGAACAGACTCAGACGTGGAGTAGGCAGAACAAAAGACAACCTGTCAAAATGGCATGACTTAGAAGAATCCTCCACCTTATCCAACTGTGGAGCAGAACAAACAACTTCGCACCTGTATGCTTATCCATATTGCCCTGCTTTGTGCACAGAGGAAGAACTGTTTAAAGCTACAGACAATGCAGTCGCGGTTGCCCGTTTTTGGTCTAAAATTATTTAGCTGCTTGTGCTCCTTTTATTTTATCAGTTTTATACTTATTTATAAAACTGAAATAATAACATGAAATAAATAAAGTTAATAAATGTACTACCTTAACTTTTTTCTTCTTCTTCATGTCCTGTAATTCTGAAATTGAAGTGTGCAAAAGAACAAAGAGCACAGGAATTTGAAGTATTTCTGTAATTTGCAATCTCAGAAAACAAAATTAAGCTCTAATATGTTAATTTTAAAAATTACCAAAAATGTTGTGACATATTTTATTGTAATTTGAACTGCTGAAGCGTGGTCATTGGCTAGCTGTGTGTTGGTAGCCACAATAATACTGAAAATGATGGCTGGGCAAGATTAATAATAATAATAATAATAATAATAATAATAATAATAATAACAACAACAGATGCATTATTTGCCAATATATCACACACTCCTAGACACTTGGGAAGTGACCGATGTGTGATCAAATTCAGAAGCCAGTGTGTAATCAAATACAAAAGCCAGCATAGAAGATTAGTGTATTAATCTTGTTATGTATCCAATAATAATTTTAATAAATTATTAATTACCCGAATCTCCCTTTGGGTAATAAATTGTGGGTAATAAATTAACTTAATATGAAGGGTCTTACATCTACCTAAATTAACTGAGGTTTTAAACAGAACCACCCGAATTATAGTGTCAATGATTTTCCATACCACAGATATTAATTATGCACATATTTATTCAGAAATTACGATCCCCTAAATTCAATGAAACATGCTTCTTAGTAAATAAACTTATGATTTCAACCTAATATCTTTAGAAAAAAATTCAAGGCTATTTTAAGGAATTATGGTAATTTAAAAAACCTGCTCCTCGAATAAATAGCTTTAAAAAAATTATCATATACAGTTACAGGCATTTCCATGGATATAATTTTTAGATGAGACAAAAACCTGCTTTTTCAATCTACCATGGCCATTAAAAATATTTGTCTCTCAATATGAGCCAGACCACATCTTTAAGCCTAATTTTCTGATCACCCTCAACTATATCAAGTAGGACACATCTGGTTTGTTCCTACAAAGCTGCCAAATACATTATAGGCTGCAAAAAACTGGGAAATGGCAGAAACTTTTCTTAGAATCTCAGACATATTAGCCAGTGTAACTAAGTGGATGCAGAACTGCTCATAGCTTATTACTGCCTGGGTATTAAATCTTGTCTTAATCTATCTCAGTTACAATGCTGAATGTAGAGACTAATCATATTTATAAATGTTTTATAACCTTTAAATATTAGCTTTGATTAGCTTAGAAGGCTTCCAACTTTCAAACAGACGATTTCGGGAATATCCAAACCTTTTGAATAATTAGATAGTAAATAGCCTCTTTGGAGTGTCATATGCAATATATATACACAATGTATTACCAAGCAATAAAAGCAAGATTCGAAGAATGCACTAGAATCATTTCCATATTTCTTTCCCCAGCTTCTGCCAACCTAGCGGTTTGAAAACATGCAAATGTGAGTAGATCAATAGGCACGGCTTCAGGAGGAAGGTAACGACGCTCCACGAAGTCATGCCAACCACATGACTTTGGAGGTGTCTACGGACAACGCCAGCTCTTCGGCTTAGAAATAGAGATGAGCACCAACCCTCAGAGTCGGACACAACTGGACTTAATGTCAGGGGAAAACCTTTACCTTTTCTTTTACCTTCTAAACATTGTATCAGGCATGGGCAAACTTGGGCCTTCCAGGTGTTTTGGAGTCAGGCCTGAGGCTGTCAGGAATGGTGGGAGTTGGAGTCCAAAACACCTGGAAGTCCCAAGTTTGCCCATGCCTGCATTATATACTACAATTTGTTCCATCTAGCATGTTATATATATATATATATAGAGAGAGAGAGAGAGAGAGAGAGAGAGAGAGAGAGAGAGAGAGAGAGAGAGAATATATTTCTAACAATTGGCCTTACTACTAAGAAATAAAATTACCTGTGTCTGGCAGAGAAAGCTCTTGGCTATCTATTTCAGATTCCAGGGTAAATATATGTTTAGCATGTTCGTGTACTTTTATTTTGCATTCATGAACCCTTTTTTCTAAGTTGGAAATGGTATCAGTGACCAGTGGAACATGGTCATGAAGGTGTTTCGTGAAAGTGTTCAACGGATAGTCATTCTTTAATTGAGTAATTAAAGGGTAAGTATCCAGTTCCTGTATGTAGGGGAATTTTGGCCAATCGTCCTACAATAAGAACAAATGCAGAAAAAGGAGTGTCATTGGTAAGGTTACATGTGCACAAATACACAGACATGCAGACACAGGCACAATTTTATTCTATATCAGTTTATAGACACAGCATTGCCCAAGGTATATAATATTGTAATGGTATTTATAAGAAATAGTCATTGTTTACTGGGTTGTTTTAAGTTTTTTGGGCTGTATGGCCATGTTCCAGAAGCATTCTCTCCTGACGTTTCGCCTGCATCTATGGCAGGCATCCTCAAAGGTTGTGAGGTTTCATTGGGCTGATTGTAATTGTAAATCCTAAAGGTCTAAGTCAAAGATCGTTTGTGTTTAAGTTCCAAAATAAAGGAAAAGGACACTGGGTTCTCAACTGCTTCCAAAACTTGCTTGAGAAAAATGTAGAATAACCATGAAATGCCTTTTTATAGAGTGTATTCCAAATCTGTGTTGTTCTTACATTCCAGTGTCCTGAGGGTCTGAAATGCAATCCCCATTCAAGCATGTTTCTCTGGGCTTTTACACTCAAAAGTTCCTTGTTCAACACTTTGTCCTCTCCAGTTCCCCGGTGAAAACAAACATGGGCATACTCAGGCAGTCAGTCTAGATCTACGCTGCCATAAAATCTAGTATCGGATCCCAGATTATCTGTTTTAACTGGATTACATATGAATCTACACTGCCCTTTAATCCAATTGAAAGCTGATTATATGGATTCAGAAACTGGAACAAGTTCTACACTGCAGAGCAGATAATCTGGGAAAAGAAACTGAATTATACAGCAGTGTAGATGGGGCATCTGTCTCTCTCTCACACACAAACATAAAAATAAAAATTGTACATACCAAGTTATTTGAGAGTAGAAATTCCTCATATGTATGAGCTGGCCGTGGCCCTTTCTATAAACACAGAAAGATATTTATGTTTTAGGAGAAAACAACTCTCTAAAAATTAAAAATAAAAGGCAATGGCATGCATTCGCTAAAGCAAACCTGTAGTTTCTATGCTAATTCATATACCCATATATACTCAAGTATAAGCCGACCCGAATATAAGGCAAGGCACCTAATTTTACCACAAAAAAACCCTGCAAAAACATATTGACTTGAGTATAAGCCGAAGGTGAGAAATTTAGCTTGTACTGGTAATCATCAGTAGGTTAAATGTTTTTGAGTATTTACATACAACTGTAATTTAAGATAAGACTGCCCAACTCTGATCAAACCATTTTTCTAACCTCCTTCAATGTAAATGTGCTTACCGATTACCAATGATGATAGAGTAAAATAATAAATGCAATAACATGTAATAAAAATAATAATAGAGTAAATAATGGAAATTTAATAATATTGGTAATAATAAAGTAATAATAATAATAATAATAGAGTAAAATAATAAATGTAATAAAATAATAATAGAGTAAAATAATAAATGCAATAAAATAATAATAGAGTAAAATAATATAAATGTAATAATAATAATGTAGTAATATAATAAATGTAAAAAAATAATAACAGGGTAAAATAATAAATAATCTTGACTCGAGTATAAGCCGAGGGGAACTTTTTCAGCCTAAAAAGGGGGCTGAAAAACTAGGCTTATACTCAAGTATATACAGTATATAAAATAGAAGTATACTAAAATAAAAACTGGAAGGAAGGACATTCTCTTATCTTAAGAGTTACAGAGATAGGTTTTACTTTATTTATTTATTTATTTATTTATGACATTTCTACCCTGACTTTCTCACCCCGGAGGGGACTCAAAGCGGCTTTACATCCAGGCAACAATTTGATGCCCTAAAACACAATGTACACATAAATAAATATTAAATTGTAATTTAAAAGGACATTAAAACAATTAAAACATTTAAAAACAATACATTTAGAGTTAAACGCATAATCCAGGAGCATAATCCAGGCCGTTCCAATGGTAACTGCACATTGTTCCAACTCTATTGCATGAGTTCTCTAAAGGCTTGGTCACAAAGCCACATTTTCACTCTCTTGCAGAAGGTCAGGAGGGAGGGGGCTGATGTAACATCGCTGGGGAGGGAGTTCCACAGCCGAGGGGTCACCACTGAGAAGGCCTAGTCTCTCGTCCCTGCCAATCGCACCTGCGAGGGAGGTGGGACCAAGACTAGGGTCTCCCCAGATGATCTTAAACACTGTGGTGGTTCATAGAGGGAGATATGTCCAGACAGATAAACTGAGCCAGGACTGTTTAGAGCTTTATAGGCTAAAGCCAGCACTTTGAATTGGGCTCAACAGCAGATTGGCAGCCAGTGGAGCTGACGTAACAGGGGGGTTGTATGCTCCCTGTATACTGCTCCAGTGAGTAATATGACTGCTGCCCATTGGACTACTTGAAGCTTCTGAACAGTCTTCAAAGGCAACCCCATGTAAAGCGCATTGCAGTAGTCTATTCGGGATGTAACAAGAGCAGGGACTACCATGACCAAGTCTGACTTCCAAAGATATGATGTGTTTTCTATTCAATTTGAATAGGAAATGAGAATTTTTGATCACAAAATAATGAAATACCTAAAACTTAGTGAAGTAACAGTAAATTTTAACAACCAAAAGGTTGGCGGTTCAAATCTAGGGAACGAGGTGAGCTCCCACTGTTAGGCCCAGCTTCTGTCAACCTAACAGTTCAAAAACATGCAAATGTGAGTAGATCAATAGGTATCGCTTCTGCGGGAAGATAACAACACACCATGCAGTCATGCTGACCACATAACCTTTGAAGTGTATATGGAGAACGCTAGCTCCATGGCTTAGAAATTAGATGAGCACCACACCCGAGTTGGACTTGACTAGCCTTTAAGTCAAGGGAAAACTTTACTTTATTTTACAATATATCCACTTTTTTTGTTGTTGAGAGTGTCCCACTCTGCCAACAATTAATAAAAAAAAGAGCAAAGCAAATATTGAAATATTGTCTCTTAAATTCCATTCATGTCATACCATCAAAGCAGAATATAAACACATTTTGCCCAGACATTCTGAGCGTACCAATGCAATAACAACTATAAATATATATATATCAGAGACCTCTTCTATGTTGTTTCTCTCTGGGAAAGAAAAAAGAAAAACCTTGGCAATATTGTTTCCAAGTTTTGCAATGCAAATCTTTTGCTCACATATTTTGTGATTATTTCTTGGTCTGAGCACAGTAATTCCACTGCATCTGAGGACTAAAGCTGACTACATTGTTTGGGGGGGGGGGGGGGGTTATTTTAGTAGCTTGATATTATGTTTCTTGAGCCGAAAAACCAACAACTCTCTTTCATGCCAAAGAAGCGAACAACTTGTTTCCAAATAGAGAAATATTTTCTTTGCTTGAATATCAACATTTGGCACAACTCACACAACTTTTAAAAAATGTTTTTCATCCCTCTGCTTCTTCCACATCCGAACTAAAAATATATACATTCTAAAAGTGCAACATGGATAATAAAGCTTACTGTTGTTAGATTGGATTTAACAATATTGTTCAATAATTTGGGTTGGAAAATTGACAGTTTACAAGCCAACAAAATTACCAGTAACAATTTCCAAGATTTCCCTCTTTTATATTTTGGCCACGATGAAATGATATTTCAAAAGTTGTGTAACAAATAAGAGCAAAACCACTTTAGTAGCATAATAGTTTCAAAAGTTTAAGTTACTTTCCAAGGCCACTTTAAGTCATGTTGGAAGCACTGTTTTATGAACTTCATTAAAGATAACCCAAACGTCACATACAATGTAATAATTTACATTTTAAAATATTAAAAAATGTAAAAACAAGCTTTGTTCTTAAACACTACCGGAAAATTGTTTGAGGGATTATTTTAGCATCTTGATATTATGTTTCTTGAACAATGCCGATGGGACTTAGGCCACTTTTTCATACTTTCTCAGAAGTGAATCCCACCAAGTTCAATGAAACCTGATCTTAAGTAATTA